TCCAAGAGGGCCCCAGGACAGCCCAAGAGGGCCCCAAGACGGCCCAAGAGGCGCCCAAGATGGCCCAAGAGGGCCCCAAGACGGGCCCAAGAGGGGGCCCAGAGGGGGACCACGAACCGCAAGCTCGAGCCTTCCGCCCCAAGAGGCCGCCAGGAGGCCCCCAGGAGGCCCCTCAAGAGGCCCCAGGAGACCCCCAAGAGGCCCAAAGGAGGCCCCGAGAAGCCCCAAATCGGCCCCCAAAATCCTTCGAACCTGCTTCCAGGAAGCCCCCGACAGGTTCAGAGGCTCCCGAGAAGCTACGTCAAACTCCCAGCGAGCGACGGGACGAGGCCCCCCACAAAATCACAAGAGGCTCCACAGGCGGCCCAAGAGAGCCCCAAGATGGGCCCGAGAGGGATTCCACGCAAGTTGTTATTGTATGGCTCGGGAAAGGACGAGGATGAGGAGGAAGACGAGGAGGAGGAGGAGGAGGAGGAGGAGGAGGAGGAGGAGGAGGAGGAGGAGGAGGAGGAGGAGGAGGAGGAGGAGGAGGAGGAGGAGGAGGAGAGGGAGGAGGAGGAAGAGGAGGAGCAGGAAAAGGAGGAGGAGGGGTGCTGTGGACGCCGCCGAAGTTTCCCGGGGAGTCCTGGGGGCACTTTGGTCTAGGGCCCCTCGTCGCAGGGGCTGGGCGCAGTCCGAAACGTTGGAGCGTTCGGAGTCCCGGGGTCGATTTTGAGACGACTTTGCGTTTCCAGTGTCTCGCCCTTCTCCTCGACAGATTGGGGCCGCCAGATTGGCGCCAGATTGGCTTCGACTTCGCGTCCCAAGATTTCAGTGTCTCGCCCTTCTACACGACAGTCCAAGGCTCCAGGGGACACTCTGGCGTGACCAGGTACGAGGTTTTTACTTGCTCGCCAGTCTGTAACCTCGCTGGCTCCCTCGCCAGATTGCCAACTATTGCCAGATTGGGGCCGCCAGATTGGCGCCAGATTGGCTTCGACTTCGCGTCCCAAGATTTCTTCGCACGGCGAAGCGCGCGGCGCGCGATCGGGGCTCAAGCGCCGAGCTCGCGCGCGGCGCCCGGGCGCTGATCAGCAGGGGGCCTGGATTATCCTCCTCGCCTCTCCCCTCTCCTCCCTCGCCTCTTCTCCCTCGCCTCTCCTGCCCCTTCCCCTCTCCAGCTCTACTCCCTTCCCCTCTCCACTCGCCTCCCCCTCCGAAGGGGGAAGGCGAGCCTGTGTGCGTCTGTGTGGGCAAGAGGGGGCCCAGAGGGGGACCACGAACCGCAAGCTCGAGCCTTCCGCCCCAAGAGGCCGCCAGGAGGCCCCAAGGAGGCCCCTCAAGAGGCCCCAGGAGACCCCAGACGTCCAAGGACGCCCCCAAGACGCTTCGCGTCACCAATTTCTTCTCGCAGCGATTCCTGGGTCTGTGACTCGACAGAACCTAAGCGCGCGCGAAGCGCGCGCGTGGTTCTAGTTTTTATATATATATATATACATAGAGAGTGAGAGAGAGAGAGAGAGAGAGAGAGAGAGAGAGAGAGAGAGAGAGAGAGAGAGAGAGAGAGAGAGAGAGAGAGAGAGAGAGAGAGAGAGAGAGAGAGAGAGAGAGAGAGAGAGAGAGAGAGAGAGAGAGAGAGAGAGAGAGAGAGAGAGAGAGAGAGAGAGAGAGAGAGAGAGAGAGAGAGAGAGAGAGAGAGAGAGAGAGAGAGAGAGAGAGAGAGAGAGAGAGAGAGAGAGAGAGAGAGAGAGAGAGAGAGAGAGAGAGAGTGATACAGAAAGCTATAGAGTAAAGAGAACTGGGGCCCAAACCGGCCCAAACTGGCTCCAAGGCAGCTTCAGAGCGGCCAAGAAGACATGACCACGCCCCGAAGAAACCCCCATGGCAGGCCCAAGACGGCCACAAGATGGTCACAGTCTGGCCGAACGGGCTCCCCAGACTACCCAAAGGGGCCCCGAGAGGATTCCAAGGCAGGCCCCAGGAGGCACATCTCATTGATTATTTATTTTCCGAATGGCCTTCGGCCCGGCCCATCCAGCCAAAGTGCTTGGATTGTGGGTCTGAGGCCTCTGGGATGGTCGATGGGTTCTCGTCGAGGCATTTCGGGGTCCTCATGGAGACAGGTTTGAAGCCTTTTTGGCGGGCTGTTTGGAGGCATCTTGGGCCTCTTGAGGGCCTCTTGCGGCAACGTGGGCCTCCCAGGCGGGGTCGGAGTAGATGGGGCCGGAGGCTCTCGCCACATCGCCGATGCATCGGCGGCGCGATCCTCCGACCCCATCTGCTCCGACCGGGAAGGTTTCTCCGAAAGGCTTAGGCGGCCCGTCCTCCTCCTCCTCCTCCTCCACAAATACTCAATCGGAGTACTACTCTCCCTCTTCCCCTGATGGCGTGCTGGGAGTAGCCGACCCCCCCCGCGTACTGTTTTTTTACACACAGGATTCCCGGGAGTTGGGTTTTCTCTTGCGTTTTTTTCCAAAATGCTGCTCTCGCTGAGGCGCCGGCCTCATTTCTGCTCCCGAATCATTCCGAATCGTGCTCCCGCTGCAGCGTGGGCCTCATTTTCGGATCGGTGTCTTGCCTCCGTCGTACAGGATGGCGTTCTCGCCCCAGCGCGGGCCTCTTTCTCGCGCGCCCATCCGCCCGCCACCACCGCGCCGCACCACGCCCCGCCCCGCCGCACGCACACCCACCGCCACTTCCACCCACCAACGCACGCACGCACGCACGCGCACCACCACCGCGCACCGCCACCACCACCGCACTACCCCACCCACCACCACCACGCTACACCGCGTCACACCACATCACACGCGCGCACACACAGACACACACGCACGCACGCACGCACGCACGCACGCACGCACGCACGCACGCACGCACGCACGCACGCACGCACGCACGCACACACACACACACACACACACACACACACACACACACACACACACACACACACACACACACACACACACACACACACACACACACGCACACACACACACACACACCACCGCCACCACCACCACCGCCATCACGCACGTACGCACCTTGCCCACCACCAAACCACCAAGACGCCACACCACGTCACACCACAGCACACGCGCACACACGCACACACACACATACACACCACCACCACAACAACCACAACCACGCACACACGCACGCACGCACGCGCACCACCACCCACTACGCACACGCGCGCGGAGCCACAGGTCCGCTACGACACGCGTCCGCGGATAGAGAAACTCAGCGCCATGGTAAGGGATGGGAGGGAGGGGTAGGATGTCAGATGTTGACGCGAGCGCACCTAACTTGTCCTCCTCCTCCTCCTCCTCCTCCTCCTCCTCCTCCTCCCTCCTCCTCCCTCCTCCTCGTCCTCCTCCTCCTCCACCTCCTCCTCCTCCTCCTCCTCCCCCCCCCTCCTCCTCCTCCTCCTCCTCCTCCTCCTCCTCTCCTCCTCCTCCTCCTCCTCGTCCTCCTCCTCGTCCTCCTCCTCCTCCTCCTCCTCCCCCTCCTCCTCCTCCTCCGGAGGAGGAGGTCTCTACAGGCCCTGAGACCTGGGCGTCGAATTTTCTCGTCGAGAAGGGCGATCTCGCTTGGCTTCGGGCCTCGGGTCGAGGGCCCGCGGTCGTCCCCACAGGCGTCTCTCTCGGGGCGTTCCTGGGGTTCTCTCGGGGCTCTTCTGAAAGCCCTGGGAGGCCTTTTGGGGACACATTTAGTAGATCCCTGAGGACAGTCTTCGTCTGGTCAGAGCGCACACCGGGAGAGGTCAGGGGAGTGGCCGCATCGGTGCCTCACTTCGGCGGCGTAATCTGAGCATTGCCCTCGATGGTTGGCGGGGGGAGGGTTTCGGAACTCGTCGAACACAAGGCGAAACCCGAACCCTGCCTCCGCCTCCCATCGACTCAGGAGAATCGATGCTTGGTTGGGCTAGGGTTCACCGCTTGAAGCATGTCCTATCCCTATCCCTATCCCTATCCCTATCCCTATCCCTATGCATGGCATCACAGTACCCCGGTGGCGATTTTAAGGATTCCCCCCGTTTTTTGTCCTGCGGGCACATCCCTAAGGCTGTCGTCGCTCAAAAAGACGACGGGGCGGACACGGCCGCTGGCGCAGGCGGCCGCCGGCGAAGAGAGGCCGCCGTTGGCGAAGAGAGGCGGCCGCGGGCGAAGAGGCGCGGCCAGGCCGGGGAGGGCGGCCTGCCTGCACCTCGGGAGCCTCGAGACGGGGGTCAGTGCAGACGGGGGTCAGCCAGAGCGCCGGATCTTGCAGGATCCTGCAGCGCCAGGGTCGCATTGACCAGGGCTTGGGTGCAGGATCCTGCAGGATCCTTCGCATTGACCCGGGTTTGGGTGCAGGATCTTGCAGGATTTTGCAGGCCTGATTGACCCGGGTCTGGATTGACCCGGGTCAGAAGATCCCCGAGCAGCTCTGAACGCACGAAATGGGTACAGAAAATATGGGTACAGTGCCCAACAGCAGCTCCTGTCCATTTTAAGCAGGACTCGTTGTCCGCGCAGCCGCGGCCTGTGTCCACTTGATGCAGAAGGCCGCCCTTGTCCAACAGCGGCCGCTGTCGGTTTGGGACCACATTTGTTGTTGGGCATTGTGCCAATTTTTTCCGCACAGTCGGGGTCCTGAAGAAGGAACCCTTCTCGTTGGGGAGGGGCTCCGCGTTCCTCAAATGAATGTTTCCCAGCTTGCCTCAGGTGTATTCCTTATGTCTTCGATCGCGAATCGAAGTTTAACTTCTGGAAGCAGGGGGGCCTCGTTCCTTATCTAGGGTTCCTTAGGTCAACGCCCCGACTGTACCGAAGCCGCCGCGCGGCCTTGCCATCACCAGCCACGCCCCTACCATGAGTCAGATGGCCTCGATGGCCATTTGGAGACGCGTCAGTTGCTGGCTGCGTAGGCAGCCTCCCTTTTGCTTCTCGAACGCAGTGAACATGTGGGCAGTTCGCGTAGGGTTCCTTAGGTCGGGCGTCCGAAGCCGCCGCGCGGCCCGCCGCGCGGAGGAGAAGCCCGCGGTGTCCCTCGCGAGGCCGGCGAGCGCGTCCCGGGGAGGCGGCCCGCGCGCCCGCCCCCGCGGCCGGCCGCGTGCCTCCCGCCAGCGGATGGTGGGCCCGCGTTGTCCGCCACCGCCACCACGAGTTGGAGGGGAGGGGGTCCACCTCCTCCTCCTCCTCCTCCTCCTGCCTCTTCTATTCTCTGTGAGCAAGCTCCTGCTGTCTCCGCAGCTTCTCTGCCCAAGTGCCCCCCGTCGGCCGCGCGTGCGGGCGCCTTATGCAGGCGGTCGCACAAGCGGCTCTCCAGGGCGCTGGGGAGATTTTGTTCAGGGGGCTGCGGGCCGCGCTCTACGAGCGGCTCGTGGCTGCCCCCCTCTCTGTGCTTCAGGACCAGGGGCCTCCATCGCCTGCCTGGTCCATCCAGCAGGCGGACTCGTCCGAGGGTGAGGGGGCCTCCTGCCCTCTCCCTTCGGCGGGTTCCACCTGCCCCACCGTCTGCCTCGGGCTGGCGGTGGACCTGAGCGGCGGGGTCTCTCCCTGGCTGCTCAGCACGGTCGCCGCCCTCCTCTGGGTGACGGCCGCCTGCAGCGCCTGCGCGGGCTGCTGCCTCGGGCTGCTGGGCCCGTACGTGTGGCGGAGGCTCTGGCCCTCCGCCTGGCCGCGCGGCGCGGTTTCTGCTTCACCTGAGCAGGACCGCCGTGCGGCGCGAGCGCTGGCCTACGGGGCTCCGCCTCGACCTCAAGCGCTCGAGCGGGCAGACGCCCAGCGTGCGGGCGGCGGCGTCCACGGCGGCGCCCACTGATGGCGGAGCTGCCACCAGTTGGCGGAGGGCCCCTTTGGCCCGAGCTCTACCCTTTCGCTGCGCCCACGGCGCGCGACTACGCACGATGGCGCCTAGACGACGGCGACACCAGCTGGGCGGCTATCCCCCTCGCCTCTCGAGAAGGGGGCATCCTGCTGGCCCTGCCTGGTGCCTTTCGCTCTACAGCGGAGCTCGAGGCTGCCGAGGCGGATGGCTTTGCTGGGATGATAGGCCCCTTCCAGCTAGTGGACGTCCAGCTCCAGGGGGCCGCTTCACGGCCGCTCGCCACTACCGCATCCGTCCTCGTTATAGATATCGAGGTTGCCGAGCTCGAGCTCGAGTCGCTGTACCCTCTAGAGGTCGGCGACGACGCAGGCATCGTTCCCTTCGCCGAGGTGCGCAGCCGCGTCTATTGGCCGCATCCTTCGGGGGTTCGGGTGCTTCGCGAGGGCTACGCTCGTTTGCACGGCGCCCCGCCTACCGCAGGGGAAGAGCCTCTCCCAGGGGCCGATCGGGCTACCCCCTACCACTCTGCCGACGAGATGGAGGAGCCCGAGGGGTTCGCGGCCGACGGGGAAGCCGACCGCGCGGCCCCAAGTGCGCGAGCCCCCGCGGTCGCTGGAGCGCCGCGCGGCCCGCCCGCCAAGCGCGCTGGCGCCGCCGCGCCGCCACGGGTCGCGGGTCCTGCTCCGATTGCTCCTGGTGCTCCTGCGGCGTCTCTGGACGACGGGGCTCCCATGACCCGCGCCGAGGTAGCTGCCGAAATGCGCGCCTTGCTTGCAGCCCACGCGGCCTCCACGATGGTCGGCGGACCCGAACCGCTGGGCCCCGCTCCGGCTGCCCGGAGCGCTCGGCCCGAGGTGCCTCAGCTTTTCAGCGACGAGGCGGCGCGCCTCGGGCTGGATCCTGCGGGGATCGAGGCCGTCTTGTCCCACGCGCCCGTGGCCCCACATCGGGTCTCCGCGCGCCCCAAGGGACCCACCTCCGCGCTGGTCTCGGCGTGGGAGAAGGCGCGCTCTCTTGCTGTCCCTCGGGCCCCTTCGTCCGCTTCCGGACCGATGGGCCCCCCGCCGCCGCCTGGGCTAGCCCATCCCGCTGCGGTCGACGGCTTTGCCGAGGCGGGCGGCGCCGACGGGTTAGAGCCGCCCCTTGCGGCCAATCCGACGGACTTCAGCCTCATGCTTCAGTGCCTGCACCAGTCCCTTTCCTTGCAGCAGGGGCGGGGCCATCGCCCAGCCTTCCACCCGCTTCTGGGGACCCTGAGCGACCAAGCTCAAACTCCGCCCGCGACCTCGGGCGACCCCGCGCACGCATCGGCTCAGATGGGGGGAATCGCTCGGAGGCGCGAGTGGCAGCAAGCGCTGATGCAGCACGGCCCCGACGTGCGAGGACTGATGAAGGAGAATTTGGCCCGCGTTCTGGGCGTGGAAGTCAGCGCCGTGACCCCCATGGCCATGCATCAGTACTTTCGCGAGCACAGCCCCCTCGGGGCTCAGCCGTCGACGCACGAGTTGTTGACGCATTTTGCCTTCCTCAGCGCCGAGCTGTGGCGGGCCTGCGAGGAGGGCAACCCCGAGAGGGCCCAGACCTTGCTGACTTGCCAGTGCATGTTCATCGACCAGTTGGCGGGGGACCGCGGCTACCTCGAGGCCGCTTGGTTCCTCACGGGGCTGGAGCCTCCCCCGTGTCGCGTGACCAGTCGTCACACGGAGCGCGAGGCCCAGACCCCGTTTTCACCCCTAGTGGATCCTCGCTGGCTGTCGGCGCAGGGCGAATACATGAAGGAGCTGCAAGCATTTCGGGCGCGCCTCGACGCCGAGCGCGCCGTCGCGCTCCCCAAGCATCCACCTCATCAGCCCAAGCAGCCCAAGGTCTCAAAGCCCCCCTTCAAGTCTCAGGGTGCTCCCAAGGCCCCGAAGGCGGTGCCCAAGAAGGACTGAAGATGCCCTTGGCGCCCGCCTTCTTGGAGGGGGGGCCTTCGCGTGACCGGGGTACGCCGCCGCAGACAGTCTGCACCGACGCTGCTACGGCTGCTAGGCGTGTTTGGGCGCATCGAGGACGTGAGGGTAGGAATGCGCTCCTCCAGCGATGCTGTTGCGGCCCCGCAGGGAGGAGTACGTTCCGCCACCGCGCCCCTCGCTCTGCTCCGAACCGCCCCTCGGATCCATTCGGCCATTTTGGCCGTCACCTGCCTCAGTCGAGCGCTCCCCCCATGGGGCCTGCAGCCCCTGAGGTTGGTGTTCTTGCTGGTGCTTGTTCTCCTTCAAGCACCCCTGCTGCTCTTGCCAACGTCGCGCCATTTGTCGCTGACTTGTCTGCCTTGCTGCGCCTGTTTCCAGGCGCGAACATTGATATCACCCACTGGGCGGCAGCGCTGTCCCAGGTTGGGATGGGTGCTCGATGTTCTCTTGGATCTTTCTCCCGCTCATCAATGCGTGCAATGGACAGGGGCGACCCGTACCTTTTGGGGCCGCCTCCCCGCGATCCTTGGCCGTGCCCGCCTGCTCCACCTCTTGGTCCCCCGCCTGACGGCTTGTCGGCGAGGCGCAGGGAGCGCTGGAGATTGCGGCGCGCGGCGCGGACGCTCGCGCAGTATTCTGTTATTGCGTTGAACTGGCTCACTTTGGGTCATCCTAGCCTCGCTCCCGCCGAGGCTCGCGTCCGCGCCACGGTCTCGCCCTGCCAGGAGGGCGTCCGCACCCGTATCGAACGGTTGCGTCGGATCGCAGTTCGCCTTGCCCGTGGCGGCAAGAGCGACTTAGGTCGAGCCTTCGCCAAGTTCGACTCTACTGAGGTCTCGCTCCATGGCCTGGCCACCCATGTTGCAGCTTTGGAGGCCTCCTTCACCTCCTCTTCTTCCGTGCCCGCCCCCATGCGGCACTGCCCGACCAGCGCTCCTTCCGTGCCTGGTTCGCTGGCGTCTGCGGCGGCTTGGGACTCCACCCAGGTCGAGCCCTTCGATTTAAAAGTCAGGGCGTCTCGCATTAAGTGGGATTACTCGCCAGTGTTTGATCCCATTCCATTTCTCTCTGACGCTCGAGTCCGCGAAGCGTTCATCAATCCAGAGGAGATGCGGCTCCCGGCGTCAGAGTGGCCTGCTGGCCAAAAGGGGGCGCGTGTCCATATGGACCGCGCCGAGCTGTGGGCCCTGCTCCAGAAGTGGGATGCCTGCGGCGCCCTGTACCTGACTCCTGCTTCGGACCTCGCCTGGGATGAAGCCTGCGGAGCTTTCAGGGTACCGAAGGACAGCGACTTCGACAGGCTGATCCTGAACCCAACGGTCGTGAACAGCCGCTGTGCCTCAATCTCGTCCAGCACCCAGCGCCTTGGCCAGGGTTTCCTGCTGTGCCGTTTGGGTCTGGCGCCTGGGGAGTGGCTGGCAGTTTCTTGCGACGACCTACGGGAGTTTTACTACACTTTCCGCGTTCCTCCCGCGCGCGCCAGGCGTAACGCCCTTCGCGTTCGTCTGCCATCATCCCGCTTCAAGGCCTTTCGAGCCTGGCGCCCCGAGCTCGAAGGTGTGGACGTCGCGCCTTGCCTCAATGCTCTAGCGATGGGCGACAACATGGCGGTGGAGATTGCCAACTCTGCACATGAAGGCGTCTTGCACAGCTTCGGGGCCTTGCGGCCTCACGAGCAGGTTGTCCACCGCTCGCCCTTCCCGCGGGGACCGTTTGTCGAGATGCTGAATATTGATGACCATACAGGTTTTCAGAAGCTCTCGTGGCATGGCTCCGCTCCTCGCCCCGACGACCCCTGTCGTCGTGATCGTGAGGTCTTCGCCGCCTGCGATGCAGGCTACCCGCGCGTGGGCCTGATTCAGCATCCAGGCAAGCGCGCGCGCGGCGAAACGCACAAGGTGGTGGTGGGCGCCGAGGTGGAAGGGCGCATAGGCATCGTCTGCGCTCCCTTAGTGCGGACGGTGGCCTTGTGCAGGCTGACCCTGATCCAAATCTACCTCGGCATCACCACGCGCTCCCTGTTAGCCTCTCTTGTGGGCTGCTGGGTCCAGGTGTTCCTCTATCGCCGTCCGATGCTCGCCATTTTCACGCACGTCTACAACTTCCTGTCGCGCCTGGCGACCGAGGAGGGCATTGAATACGACTTGCCTCCTTATGTTCGCGACGAGCTTTTGGCCTGCACCTTTTTAGCCTTTACGGCTATAACCGACCTTCGGGCGCAGCCTTGCCCCGAGGTGTTCGGTACGGACGCGTCTCTCGGCTGGGGGGGCGTTGTCCGCGCTCCTATCAGCCCGC